CATGTGGGCTTGCCAGAGCAAAACACAGCAGAGTACAGGGCTCTTCCTTTTGGGGAGAAATGTCTGTTTAACAGGAATGAAATGCTCACAGCCGTACAGCCTGAGATTCTGCCTATCTGTGAAACAGCAAGAAGCTCTCCAAGTTTCCCCAATCCGTCCCCCACCGCAGCTTAACTCCAACTTGGAGGAACAAACTAATCTCTGCACTCACCAACTCCCTGAGCTCTCAGAGGCAGCTGCTGGCAGAGTACATTGGACACAGAGCAAGACAGAGGTTTCAAACACGGGTGCTTAAACACTATCAGCAGAAAACAACCTTGGCCCAACAACCACCACTCAGTGCTAACACTCTGTCATTACTGACGAGCCACCATGCCAAATACATTAAGAAAGTCTAGGAGAAAAAGCTACAGCAGGTCCTTGCACCCACCCCTCACACAAGTTTTATGCTATAGTTCAATGTCAATTCTGACTTCTCCAGCTCCTGAGCGCTTGTGTTCATGGTCAGTGTACAGCAGTGTCCTTTCTGCAACCTGAAACTGAACTCACACTCCCAGATATCAAACAAGAGCATCAGCTGGAGGAATGCAGGAAAGTTGCGACTCGGCTCCTCCCTCGGCCTTAGCCAATGGACCACCAACCTTGAGAAACAGGCTGAAGCAGAGGACCTGGCTCCTAAACATCAGGAGGTTTGGGGCTAATGGCAAAGCATCCTCCATTAAGGTCACTTAGTTTCCAACCCTCAGATAAATCTGGTGATCTATCCCTCCTCCTGTTTTTAAGAAAGGGAAAATACTGCTTCCCAGAAGCTACCAGGCTGTCCGCAGTTAGGATAAACAAAAGAAGAGAGATTCTTGTCCAGTCTCAACCTTCAAATTATTCAGGGATTCTGCAATCAACTTTTTAAAAAGACTCAAGTACTCCTGTGATTAGTCACTTAAACTTTTTGTTTATTTGTAATTTATTCAGCAGAAAACAGGAATAAAGAGGTTTCCTAGGAAACGGGGGGAGTAGTAAGGTTTCTGATCATGAAGCAGATGCATCTAACTGCGAGTCACCAGCATCCTAGGAAATATCACTCCCTCTAACATTTATTTGAAATCCAAGATTAAATCATCCCTATCCAACACCAGAGCCCTTCTGGTGCCCAAACGTTTTGCAGTTCTACCAGTAATTCGGCTTCAGTGATCTTAAACTGAGCCATAGAGGATGCCGGGTCTATGAATACCTCTGCTACTTTCCCCCTCTCGTTCGAGAGGAAGACAGCTGTTTTATTTTGCTAGTACCGCTTTCCAATTGCTAGGGTGGCTGTACTTGACCTCAGCAGTGGTACTGGGGATTGAATCACCATGCCTATGTTCCAGAGTCAACCCTGACATGCTATTCCACACCTCATCAGTGAATGCCCCATTTTTGTTTTGTCTGTTCTGCAGAAATAATCAGATTTTCATTACCTACCAAGTTAAATCCCTACAGAGCTAGGTGAAAGCAAAGTTTCCAAAGAGACATTTCAGCTAACAGCTGCTTGGGGAACACCAATTCCCTTTAAAGCTTCTCTACCATGCCAAAAATAACATGCCAAAGATTTACTCCATAAAAAAATAAATTTATCTTACCCTCTTTTCCTCCATAAAACAATTGGAGTAAAGTTGTGCATATTCAGAGCTAGGACATTAATTGTTAAGCAACAAAGAACTGTCTAATCTTTGATAACCTCTCGCATAGAGAGCAATTCTGAGAAGCCTTAAAGCAAACTCTGCACAGATCAAAAGATTAAGTTACAAGTATAGATATCCTGGCTACAATATGGTTTAGACATTATTTGGTATTAAACAACTAACTGAAGACGTTCTGTACCATATTTTCACGATCTTCTGCTCAGCTGACCTTGGTTTTCCCCTAAAAGAGATGCAGCGAGCACCATCTACAGGGTTTCTGAGCACATGCCACCTCAAACTCCCCCAAACTTTGCTGTTGCTTTATGCTTTAGTTAGAACTGAAATTACTGCCTGTCAGCAACGACTAACAGCAATAGATCTCAAATGAGGGGCAGTCTAAAACTGTCAGCGAGAGATGCACAAATTGCCTTACAGGTTCTCTCTGATGCTAACACCTAATGCAGACACTGCGGGCTGGAAGCTAACATTCCAACTAGCAGCTTTAAAGCCACCTGGCAATAACATTGCTTTGCTCCATGTCATTTTGGAGATGCAAAGCACAGAAACATAGCTCATCTTTGCTATCAACTTTATGATGCCAGAGCAGATTCCAAAAAGCAAAGGAATTAAAGAACTTTCAAGGAATTTTCCTCAAAAGTAATTCCTAGGAACAAAGCCGCTGATTTAACACTTTGGTCATCTAAAAACTTTTAACCTTAAATTGCCTGAACTTCTGATACTGTATGCTTTCTGTGGGAGTCACATCTCGCCGTTCATTTTGCTCAGGTCATAATGAACCACAATCCATTTTCCAGTGCCTGGGGACCTGGTACATCAGAAAAGTTGGGTCCACCCACGTTAAGAGATGAACTAAATTACTTCACTTCTCCTAAGTCCAAAATTCTGTATCATTTGTGCTTAAAATTATCTATAAATTGTGGTGGTGGTTTTTCTTTTTTTTTGTATACTCATTTCTCTGCTAATTCAACTTCCGATACAATCCATGCCCGAGGCCAGACCCTTACCACGCAGCTAATTAGTGTCAAAAACATCACTGTCTACAGGGAAGAGGCTTTAGAGAAAATGTTCTTATCCTCAGCAAACACTGAATATTTGAATTCCAATGATGCCTACGAGTGCTCTTTAAAAATAACTGATGAAAAAATTCCCAGAAGTTCCAGCAGGGAAAACACAAGGCAAGCAGCCATACAGCTGAGACCAGCGATGTAAAAAAACCCAGAAAACCCCCGAATGCACCCACCATCCCCACAAACCCCCACGAAACCCACTCACCCACCCACCCACCATCCCTTCTATTGGCATAAAGTGATAACTAACCTTTCATAGACTGATCTGAACAGAGTAAAACCAACATGACTTCACAACCATTACTTGCAAGTAGTAGGTGGGAGCAAAACACAAAAATACATCATTTGCTTGGAAACGAACTTGACGGTTTCATAACTTCTGCAGCACAAACTGCACCCTTGAGTCTGCGGTCAGAGACAAAAGGAATTCTCCACAGGAGCCTGACTTCCACCTTGCTGTTGTTTCCAGTTTTTGACTCGAATGATTCATACGCTTGGATTTCTTGGACGATCATGTGTTCTGGAAAACCTGTCAGAGGCAGATTAATTGTTGGACCAATGGCAATTAAAGAAAAATACTGCAGCATCTGCTTTAACAGATGCTTCTTCAGAAACATTTTAATCCATGTCATAAAACACGTTTTCCTAGATTTTTTTGCTTTTATTCAGTGAGTCACACTCAAGCACACCAAGTTCCTGTCACCTTGATATAAGTCCCATGAATTCAACACCTGACTTGAGCTTTAAGTTCCAGACATGACTGCTTGAAAAGACATGAATGCGTTGAAAAGTCTGAGGAGCCAAAAGGACATGTGGAAAAGGATATGCTGACATTTAATGATGAGCATGAGGAAAACAGAACCATTCATACCAAGCCTACAGAACTCCTCCAATTTTTTTTCTGTTGAGGCTTCCAAAATGTCAGTGATAATGCTGTAAATATGAAGCTAACAGAACAGTGCCTCCCCAAGTCCGAATAGCTCCAGGGACTCTGCTTTTAATTCAGTATTCAGAAAAAGCAGGAATAAGTTGAGCAAATAAAACTAGAGCAGCTCCTCAGAGGCAGCTGGTCTTCGTTTTGCTGTTATCCTCACAGTGCTATGTTACTTCCATGACAAGAAAGTAAGAGTCATTAGTTTGGGGGGTTCTTCACATGAAACGCTCCTTCTTATACATGCCATTAACCAAAGGCAGGTTGAAGAAAAGCTTGGATTAGATTAACTACTCCTCATCAGGTAAAAACCTCTTTCATCAGAAGAGACAGTATGACAGTAGAACTTAAGTTTTCTGGATGGATGACACACAGATTATTAGTGGGATATATTCTAGGATATGAAAACAAAAAGGAGAAGGAAGACATGGCAATCAATATCATTAAATAGGAAAAGTAAGAAATGGGTCAGAAAAGCTGAAGATATCAAAGAAAAGTATCTACTGAACAAGGTAAATGACAAGTTTATAGATTAGAAACAGAATCAGTGAGATTAAAACAAGTCACTTGTATTGAAAAGCAAATACACACAGTAATTTTTTCTTTTCTGAATATAAAGGGAAACAAAATCATGTGCTCACATGACATGCAGGTGACTAAAACCAATCAGTTGGCATTCATGGATGACATTAAAGAGTACCTACTACTTACAGCATTTTCAGAGGCCCAAATAAACAACATCACGGTCCTAAGAGAACTGGATGAGGAGATCTCAGATTTCATTAGGAATATTCTATTTATTCCTTTTCTAAATCAAAGATTTATTGAAACTGACTTCCAGCACAGTGGAACTAGACACCTGTAGACTGAGACTACACAAAGACAATAAGCAGGAAGACACAGGTAATGAAGCAGTTGGCAATGATTTCACAGGTTGATCAGATGCAACATCAGACTGCTCAAAAAACCCCACCCAGCAAACCACCCTGAAAAAGGCATATGACCAACTGCACACAGCTCCAGCTACGCTATTATATAAAGATGTGGCATCAAATGCCAGTGAGAAATAAGGGATGCTGTGTTAAGTGTAGTTGACTCTAAGAAAACTATCATGGACAGGAAAAGATTCTCTAGATGTTCCCAGCTAAAGCTTAAGTTATTCATCTCAATGTGGGGATACAAAGGTAGTTTAAAGGTCCACAAGAAAACCAAACGAGATGATCCAAGAGTCTCAACGAACACTAAACTCCGAGTTACACAGAAGCACAGGATTTTAATATTTCCAGATTAAAGTAACTGTGCACAGTTTACGCTTGAAGAAAATTATACTGAAAGTCCTCAAGAAGAAAGTGAAAACATTGTATAAAAATAAATTTATTACTCAATAGGGGAAACAAGCATTTATTCACTATATTCAGCATTCACAGAGATTCTCTTCCTTGATGGGGGAAAGAGAAATGAGTATCATCAGGAAGCCACAACAAAAACATGTAGATGACAGCAAGATTAAACACTCTGGGAAGAAACCCCTTAACTAAGTTAAAGTTATAGGTGAACGTTGCAATATTTTATATTACTATTAACATAGAAACATCTTCTTCCACATTTTAAAATACATCTATTGTTTTATATCCTGTGCCAATATTTCCTTCTTTTTCGGAGTCTTTTTTGCTGTGCTAAGTTTGAGTGTTTGAAATCTGCATTCCTGGTGAACTGTTCTTGAGTTCTGCTGGAACCAAGTGTGCATATATCCATTGTAGAAGTCAACTGCTGTAAGCTGCTTCTTTAATATAACTGTTTTGATTCCAACCCAGCCTTCCTAAAAATAAAAACAAAAAATGGCAGTAAGCTTCTTCCATGTTTTTAAGTTACCTTTAGCTCTCACTAGACTGGCTTACAGAATGCATTTTACTTAATGTCATCATGTTTATATTACAAGTCAAATTCTCGCTTGCAAGTGAAAAGCCTGTTAGTGGAAATTAAAAGATCTTCAAGGTAAAAATAAATAGACTAAAATAATAAATTAGTATTAAAAATAATAAATAATAATGAACAAATTATAATAATAATATGTAAAGAAGAATAAATAAAAAGATTGATACTAATCTAAACTATTTCAGTGAATAACAATGGACAATTAAGACAAAATTTATGTGATGCACAAATACCGAAACCCTCATCTTTAGGGCAGTGAATATAAAACAAATGGGAAGAACCTACCTTGCAACGAGCTATCAGCATTTGTGACACTTTATGGTATAGTAGTGAACCAGGAACAGCTCCAGAGTCATCTAATATTCGACCTAAAAGCAAAGCAAGACTGTCTTGCATTTTTATGACAAGTACAAAAAAGTTTGAAACACTTGTCTCTTTGAAGCATGATAATCATCCTGAGTCCCTATTTTGCTGAAAAATATATTAATGTATTCTATGTTTTATTATACCCAAATGAGCAGGGGAGAATCAGAACAGTCTCTCTGGCACTGCTCCCTCTCTGATCCATAAACCGTCATTAAGCCCTGTGTGCTTTGGCACACCACTCGGCCCACAAGGCTCTCAGACTCAGACTACTACAGAAAATGGTTTAAGCGATAGCACACAGGGACAGCTTTCCTCGTGAGAGATCCCCAGACAATGGCATTAGAAGAGGATCTCCTAACTAATTAGAGGATTAAAATCCTCCAGTCTGAGGATTCACAGGACTATACCTGCTGCTCTCGCTCAACATCATCACAAAGCAGGAATGTCCTCAAAACCCATTTTATGCTCACCTTTGGGCACAGAAACTTACTGCACTCTGATCATATACGAGACTGACTTAGTTCTACTGGAGTTTCAGAAAGCAGTACTTAAAGCTATTGTTTAGTAAAATTGTGTACATTCTCCAACTCAATGTTTGCAAGACAGAAAAACTTAACAGATTAATTTAAAAGTAAATACCAGCAAAACCAGGGATATTATCCACTTCTACAAAATCCCGAAGTTTAACAGTAGTACCCTTCCAGAGCGTCTGCAAAGGAAACTGGAAACAGAAGCAGATGACACATTGAGAATATTTTCACAGTTTCCAGGCAACTGTCTAGGGTTTTTTTCTTATGCAAGATACCTGTGATAATAACATTATTTAGGCATATGTCCAGATAAGAGACTTTCCTTGCTATATCTAGTTTTCCTTGTTCTTCCTCATCTCATTGACAAGCAAACCACTAGCTGTTTACTGTAGCTGTTTGCACTGTTTACCATCATGCAAAGATGTCATTATAGTGTTCTGACACCCTCTCAAATCCATCAGTGGAAATCTCAGAGCTAAGGAAACAATACAAAACTATTGAGCTGATTTCTCACTTGGGATCAAGTTCATGAAAATTCCTCTCCACATCAGTTCCACCTCTAATGCTATACTATGCTGGGATTTTAAAAACACATGCTAGGTTTCAGAGGCTAAAATAACTAAACTCGAGTTTTAGTCATTAGTTAAAATATCTACACCAAACTCAGACATGCTAGAGGACAGAAAAGGGTTAAAAAATACACTGTCTTACCACACTTCCTATTGCACGATGCAGTTGAATTATTTGTGCAGCCGTTTGCTCTTCCCATATTATACAACTCTTAGCTATAGTTATTTTAGGAGCTGGGGGGGGGAAGAAATTAGAAGACTTCATATTTTGTTTTGCATCTTACTGCAGAAAAACAGCTGTACTATTTTATTCTATTTTAAACCTGATTTTATCCTGACCAATGGCAGGGTTACCATCTAGCCATAGGAACCTTAGAGAATAACTAGAGAAAAGATTTTGTAAAAACCCCAATCTGGATTATTTATACTTTATTCTCAGTTGTGCTCTTACTTACCCATTGCACTGCAAACTGATAACATATATTTACAAGCACAGCTGTCACTTTTGTCTGCACTACAACCATGAAGAATAACAAACTCACTCAGATTTTGAGACATCACTAGTGATTTTGATATAGTATGGGCAACTGGAAAAAAAAAACATTAACGTATTAAGTCTAAAGAATTCTGAAGCATTTTTCCCTCTGTATGACTTTTTCAAGCCAGAGAAGGCAGTGAAGAGACCATATTGAGAAAGGTATCTAAGAAAAAATATAACCCAGCACAGTAGGAAGAAACTTAGTTTTCCAGCTGATAAAAGAAAAAAATGAACAAGTTACATTAAATATGATGTATACCTACCAAATGTTACTCCTTCTTTTGGTTGCTCTCTTTTATTTTTTAAGCTTTCAGGCAAGTTTTTCAATACTGATATCAGCTGCAAAATTAATTTTTGTACAGAATATTAGCAAAGCTAAGTAGAGTATATTTATTAACAGTAACAGTAAATCCAAGACATACAAATACAGTACTTAATTTTTCATCAGTGAAACTTTCTTGTTAGCTTTTAGAAAATTGGGTCAGTATATTCAGAAGACTTGTATCATACGTACAAACACACTAAAGGCATCCTTCACACTGAATCACAATTAAAAAAACAAGTATTCTTTTATGGAATAAAAGATCTCCGCTCTGATATTAATCCTAGAACACAATGAAAGCTGATTATTAAAGACGGAAAAGCAGATGTTTGCTACAATGAAAGAAGAAGCTGCACTGTTTCCATACAAAGCACTTGAGTTCTTCACTGAACAGAAACAGAACAGCAATGCACAGGACCAGCGCTGACGGCTTATCACATACTACTCAGCTTTCCTCTCAGCAAGGCAAAGTGCTCACAAACACTAAGTTTCAGATCACTCTCCTCTTAATAGCTGCAGTCAACTCAGAACAAGATTAAAAAGAATTCTGTTTACACATGTTAAAAGCAAGGTACTAATCAGCAGTGACACTAGCTGGCATGACTTTACCATGTTTGCACCCTTCTTTGATAACATCACTTCCAGCTCCTTTGCAGTGCAGTGGGGAGGAACAGGAAACTCTTCTTGCTTAATAATTGGACCTACATCAAATCTGTAAGGCAGAAAAGATACAAGCTTACTAGAGGAGAAGCTATAACTCAGCACCCTTTTTTCCCCCTCTAAAACTTTATTTTTCACACATTATCAAATAATGTTTTGTTCACAATACAACACAGGGAAAAGAATATCAGATATATCTTGGCAAACAAGATTCACCTCAGCAAGCTGAGATTGATATGAGTGCACAATATACAGTTCAGAAGCATAAGAGCTCAGAAGAAACAATCTGAAGTATTCAGAAGAAATTTGTTTCGCACTTTCCTGAGATCTATTATCAGACAAGCATCTAAGAAAGAAAAGATAACTATCATAATGTGTTTTCACAAGCCTTTTAAGCCAGAGTTTGTGCTGAAACCAAAACATATAATCTCTCTCTCATCCCTAGACAGGCAATTGCCTGTCCTCTGTTTCACTTACAGGAGGTTACAGGTCACTGAAGTCTGAAAATCAAATCTTTTCTGTTGTGTCATACCAAGCCTATCCATCTAGCTCTGTGACTGTTCTCTGTCTGTTCCCTGTAAAAATGCTAAGAATTAGAGAACAGGCCTAGAGTCTAGAGTGCAAATTATGGACTGACTAAAATACTGTATTTGTGGCAAGTCTCATGTGGTCAGATGAAACTTTCTAAGTGTTTCAAATTTTAATATTAAACACATACACTAAAAAAATAGCAATTGCATAGAATGATTTAAATGATGTGGTGATGATTTAAAGTCCTGAGAAGCAACAGAAGCAGTGAGTTGTTTTGGCAAGCACATCTAACCTACCTTTTTGGTCTTATTTCCATAATTGTCACCCCAGTCACTTTATCACCATGAAGCACTGTGTGGAATATTGGTGCAGGACCACGCCATCGTGGGAGATGGCTGGGATGGACATTCAGCACACCACTGAATTGAAATATTTTAAAGTTAGAAAAGGAACAGTACTTAAAGTTGAACCTATATGTAAATGGGTGTGCAACATTTACTACACCGAAACTTCTTTACGAATTAACTCCTCAGACCTTCTGAAGTGTTACTTGCTTAAATACACATTTAAAGGAAAATTTACACTACATAACATTCAGTTTCTCAGCAAATACAGAAAGGGAGATGAGAGGAATAAAGGTAAACACACGATGCTGAACATTTGCATAGATCTACATCAATGTGTTAAAGAACAACAGTGAACCTCACAACAGAAGTAGAGCTCAGGCTAAGCAGGTGAACCCAGGAAAGAAGTTGACCTCACCTGCTATAAGACACAGGTGCTGACTCAAAAACGGAGTCTAGCTTTGCTAATGAAGCAGCAAAAGATGTCCTGTCAAGTCACTTACTATGGGAACTGCAAAATAAGGTCCTCACTTAGGAGACGTCCAAATGATGCCACCACACCCACATCAAACTGCCCCACAGGTCCTGTGTGTGGCCACTCATGAACAGGCAGCTGGAGCTCCCGGGCACAGCTCCTCACAGGCAGGTCCCCAGGCTGGCGGGGGGGGAGGGGGACCCCCCCCCGCCCTGAAACCAAT